CTTTTTCATAATAAAATGGAAGACACTCTAGTTCCTTTGTTAATTTACATACAGGTGGATCATTAAACAATTTTCCATATATTCTCATTGCCCAATTTTCGCCAATCAATGTGTAATTTGTGTTGCAAGAATATTTTAATAATGTACGTCCTGTATATGATATTTCTTCAGTTTCATCTTTACAATTTTCAATATCAAAATAACGTAATGTAAAACTATCCATCTCAAGGTACTGAGCTTTAATCAACAAAGAGTCAGTTGCTGCAAAAATTTTAAACAATATTAACAACGTAATCGAAAAAGTAATAGGAAATTATTAAGTCTTTTTTTTGTACATATTTTTTCAATAGAAAAAATACTCACGAGTACATTCGGGATAATCTTCTGTTTTCCATATTCCATTACTACATATTATTGTTGAATTTCCAGTAAGCAAATAATTTAAATCGCAGGTTAATGTCGCAATGTCACCTTCGTCATTTAGTTGAATTTGTCCATATTTAAAACTAATTTCTGGACATTTGAGATTTTTCGATAATTTACATTGAGGTGGTAGATTTGACCATTCTCCATCTATACATACTGCCCAATTTCTTCCTATCAATGTATAATTTTTATTGCAACTATATTCAACATAAACTTGTCCATCGTTACCAATTTTTCTATCTACTGCCATTCCATTATCGATGTAGTAATACGTTTCGGATGATTTCAAACACGTATAAGCTGTGTAATTTTCATATTAAAATTATTTCTTGAAAATAGAATTAACGTTTATTAAAATATATACAGTATATATAAAAATCGTGAAATACTTACGAATACATATGGGTCGTTCACCACTCCATTTTCCATTAATGCAAGTTAGAGTAGAATCTCCTTGTAGTACATGAAAATCATTGCAAAGTACGAGCCCTTTGTTATAATTTTCCAGTGTAACAAATTGTGCATTTCTTATTTCCAGTGGCTCGCATTTTAATTCAGTTTCTGTAGAGGATTGTACATTTGGAATAAATAATGCGATGAAAATTGTAAGAATCAATTTATTACGATCAAAATCCATTTTCTGACTTTGTTTGTCAATTTTATTACTGAACGTCTTGAAAAATAAATTCCAACTAAAATTGCACAGCTTTTTTAAGCGTTTACCTTATCTTCTTTTATGTTTGTAATTTTTAATACATGATAATATTATAAAAAAAAATTCCTTATAGTTGCAACATGATTGCAAAGTTTTTTTTCTTCTAAAGTCTTTAATCACAAATAGCTTTTTGTGTCATATATTTTTAAGGATTTTAAAATTTTTCCATATTTTATTATAAATTTTTTCTTGCTCACGATTTTAAAAAGAAAAAATTATTTTTAAAAATTGTTATCAATATATTTTTATAAAATTTATGAATTTTAAACTTTGTGAAAGAACACGAAAAATGTTAAATGAGTGTGATGATGCTACTTCTTAACTAAAAAAATACAATTCCGAGTACTCTTATATAGGACTTGTTATTACTATATTATAAAGTTTACTCAGTTTTATACTGGTTAAAAAATTTAATATATTTATTCGTATTTCAATATTTATTTTACATGTGGTATATTTTTATCATCAATAATTTACGAACATTAATATTAGTTAAGAAATTATTCCATATTAAAACATATTATTTTAGAAAAAAATATTTTTATTCTCTTATCAATTTTTTTCCTAGTAATTTTATTTAACATAGGTAAAATAAAAAAGAAAAAAACCTACTCTTCAAACTATCGTGAATATTTAATTTCTATAAGTCAATTTCAAATGTTAATTTTCTTATCATGTTTTTCACACTCAAGTCTTATTCTAATATAGAACATTTCCCAACAATTATTGAAAGTTATTTAAATTAAATTTTAAAAAAAGAAAAGATTATTGAAAATTATTAAAAGTAAAAAATATTGAAAGGTGAAATAAAAATGTGGTGTATGCTAATAATTTCAGTGTACTTTTCATTTCATTATAATTATACTTATTTGTTCACATAATTAGTTTAATAAAGTATAGTTACCTAGTCTAATATATAAATTTACCATTTTTACAAAGAAAACGATAAATTTTTACTTTTTATTCAAATGAGAACTGCGAAAAAATATGAGGAAATTTCTAATTCAGTGTACTTTTCATTTTATTATAATTATACTTATTTTTTTCAGAAAAGTTGTTAAAAGAAGTATAGTTACCTAGTATAATATATCAATTTACCATTTTCACAAAGAAAATAACAAATTTTTATTTTCCATTCAAATGAGAAGTGCGAAATACCTGTTCAAAATCTAAACAAATCATGCCCATTTTTTTTTATTCACCACTATTTTCACCTTATGAAGAAGCAATTATTAAAAATACTAGCAAAATTATACGCGCGCAAGCGCGTGAAATTAGGGTTATAATTGTTTATTATAAAGAAATTAAAATTAATATTATCAATAATATTTTTAATTTATTATATTATTATTACATTGTTAATAATAATAATGAAAATTATACTTTTATATAATTAATATTTAATAGAATTGAGACGAAGCTGAAGTACGCAACATTTATCAATAAAAACATTTTTTTAAAAAAGTTAAATATTACGTCTAAATTACATATATTTAACATAGGCGGAATAGTTATTTGAAGAATGATTTAATATCTAATTTAGGCTTAATATACAACTTTTAAAAAAAATTTCTTGGTAAACGTTGTGTACTTCAGCTTCTTGACTTAAATTCTATTTAAATATTTAACATAATCAATTTTTTTTTAATTTAATTTTTTTTTCTGAATCATCTTCTTTTTCTTCATTTTTTTAACTCTCACAATTCCCTTGCGCAAATATTCATTGTCCACATTTTTTTCCAGTTTTTTAATGTCGCTGACATCGTTGATCGAAATATAAGGAGGATCTGTAGAAAAACAACTTTATTTTTAATCAAAATTTTACATATTTAAATATATAAATTCAATTATTTTTTTATAAATCCATAATTTTTCAAACATGATATCGAGGAAATTATTTTATCAAAGATTCTAAAAAATTTAATTTTTAAAAACTTTAAGAAAATAAATTTTTTTATAATAATTTTTATTTATTAAGTTTTATTACATTAAAGGTAGAAAAAATGATTTTATCTTAATAATTAATGTTCTGATTGAAAATTTTTAAGTCCTAATGTATGTCTGGCTGAATGTTTATTAAGTAAAATAATTTTATTATTTTGGAACAAAAAAAACGTCTAAAATCATGCACGCGTGATTTGCTTTTTTTAAAAAATTAATAAAAATTTATATTTAAATATCTATCGATAATTTTTCAGAAATTCTTCAAGAAAATTTTCGATTTAAAATTTAAATTGATAATTTTTAATATAACATATATCGGTAAAGGTCTTGTAAAAATTTCTTATCATCAAAATATTTATCATTAAATAAAATTTTTTATTTTTTATTATATAATAATAAATAATAATTATTATTATTATTAATAAATTTAAATTAATAAATAAATAATTTATAAATTATTAATTTAAATTTAATATTTAATATATATTATTCAATATTCCTAATTAATTAATTAATGTAACATATATAATACAAAATTTTAATTATAATAACAAAAATAAATAAATTTTTGAAATTTGATAAAATTATTATATATTTTAAATTAAACTTACCATCAACTTATGCAGCTTACTCTAACAGCAATCGAATCAATTTTTCTCACAATCCTCACAATTTTTTTGCACGATTCTAACAATTTTATAATTTTTAATAATTAAAATACGACCGCACAAATGACAATGTCAAAACATTGAAAAATTTTAACCAACATAAAATAATGTCAAACAACACATTTAAAAAAAACAAAAGACCTATAACAAATACTAACTTCAGGTGTGGACAGAATGAACGAAATATATTCACGATTATTATATGTAATATTTTTTTCATTATCGAAGTTTAAAATTTGCACATAGGTATAAATGTGACGCACTCTTAACAAAGGGGACTTAAAAAGCAAACGTATTATTGTTGTTTTGTTACAATAATGTTCCCATGTAGATTCAAAAAATAAACAAATACCTACTTACAATTAAAAATCTCGAAAATAATAAGTGATATTTCGGGGCGCATGATTATTTCCCAAATTTCATAATTTTCAAAACATCGAAATTCTTATTATCGAAATGTCATTTCACATAATTTTTATATTGCGAAATACCATTTAACATAATTTTTATTTTTTCGAATAATCATTTATTCTAATTTTGAAATAATAGAATTATTTATTGACATAATATTTATTTTACCCAGAACTTCTTTAGCATAAACTTCATTCTTCCGAATGGTTATTTGTCACAATTATTAATTCTCCGAATGATTACATAACCTAAAATTCATTCATACTAATTGCCATTTAATATAATTTGCAAATTTTACGCGGTTAAATTCATGAACAATGTTCAGTGGCACCTTCTCTGTATCTACTTTACCGACTGGAAACAGATTCGAAACTCGTATGAAAATATTTACTATTAAACAGTTTTATTAATTCTCAACCAAAATTTAGTTAAGTAAATATTAAATTAAATTATTTGTTAAAAATAATAGAGAATATCTTGTTGTATAAAATTTTTATAAATATAAAAATAATCAATAAAAAAATAGGTATAAAATGTAATAATAATTATTATGCAAATCGTTTAAAAGTTCTTTTTTACATGTTCTCGCAAACCAATCAATTGTTAACATGCGCACTTTCATCATTATATTTATATTTATATTCTTTATTGAATAAAACCTCATCTTTTTAAAGGAAATAAAAAAAATTAATTTTAATTGCGCACTATTGAGTTAAAATTGAAACAATAAGATTCAATTTTGAAAAAAGAATATTGCAATAATAATAATAATGATAATAATAATTTTTTGTAAGTTTATTAACAATATACTAATTGTCAGACAAAAAACATCAAGGTTTTTGTTTCAATGTTAATATTTATTTTATTATTAAATTCACATATTTTTTAAATAGATAATAAAATATTATTAAAATGTTATTCAAAAAAGAAAAAAAAATTATATAATAGTAATAATTAAATTAATAAACAAATTTTGTGTTTTTTTTTTGTTTTGAGATATTAATTAATTAATTACATAATTAATTGTAGAAACAATAAAATTACTGTGATTCTGAACTTACCATTTGTAATTTTTTGTTATTTTGCATCCAACGAGCCTTATATGAAATATTTTGGATTAGTAAATTGTTAGTAATCCATACAATACATCATATATAGGACTCGTTGGATGCGGAATTACAGTAGATGTCTTTTGATAAGTTTAGAAATACAGTAATTTTATTTGTTTCTAAAATATTTCATTTTTTGTTAACATTAATTAATTAAATAATATTTCAAAAACAGGAAAAACAACATTTAAATTTGTTTTTATTAATTTACTACACTGCGGCCGCCATGCTGGCACATTAAAATTATCCACGTATATAAGGTTCCAATTCTTGCTGATAGTTATGCCATCCACTAATATTGTTTCTGCCAATATATTTAATCAAAAACTTATCAAACGGGTATTTACAAATAGGTGGAAATTTTTTTTCAGAATTAACAATCAATTCTCCATCACTCGTAGAAGGTACCCAAATATTACGACGACAAATGAAATTTGAATCTCCTTCAAGCACATGTATTGTAAGGCAATATATTGTCATTTTCGTATCCCATACGTCATTCGTTATTCTTGCATTATCCATATTTATTCGTACACAACCTGCGGATAAAAATAACAATTAATATATTAATAATAAATTTAATTCCCTTATAACATGTTATATTCGGGAGGGTTCCTTGGAGTCTGTTATTGTATTTTTGAAATTTAATTTTTGACAAATACTTACGTTCACAATTTTTGTAATTAACATCACCTGTCCAATTTCCATTAATGCATCGTCGCTCTCCCATCTATGGAAAATAATTTCATGCAACATTTTTATGAAAGGTGAATATACAAATCGTTAAAAAAAAATTGTCTCCTACATCCAATAAATATTATGTTAATTTTTGAAATTTTTATTTATTTATATATTGAGAGAGTGATTTGTTTGAAACACTTTGATTATCATCTTTTGAAAACAAAATTATATACATATATATATATATTTTTTGACTTACAGATAAGTTTTCTCGGACTTTAGTCATTTCTATTGTTCTTAAAAAACTACTAGCATCATCGCAATTTATTCTAGCAACATTGCCATCTTCCAAAAATGTTACACTTGAACTTCCATATTTGAACGGTGGACATTTCAGTGTTTTTGTTAATTTACATTGAGGTGGTGTTTTCAACCATTTTCCATCATCACAAGTTACTGATTGTTCTCCGATCAGTGTATAATTTTTATTGCAATAATAATTTAAAGTAACCGTTTTCTTGTCAGGAAAAGTTTTCTCTACATATCCATTTGATAAATTATAAAACGTAGAATTTCTTAAGCAATTATGATCTGAAATTTTTTAATTTAAATGTAATTCCAGATAAACGAAAATAAAATTTAATATTTTTTCAGCTTTATAAAAATCGACAATGTAAATATTGTTGCGATTCCATTTACGTATGCAATAAATTTTGTTTTAATATTTTTTTAAACATTCATTAAATGTAAGAACAAAAATAGAAGAAATACTTACGATAACAGTTGGTAATTGCATTTCTACTTTCAAATGGTACAAAACTATATGAAGGAAGCCATCTACCAGTAGATGGATTGCAGTTTAATATTTCATCTACAATAGGCTCGTAATTTGTATTACAATACAATTTCATTGACATGAACCATTTAGAAACTGAAGCTTGTCCATTTTCAACTGTAGTATCACATTGCAAAGCTGCAAAATAAATTTCATGAAATGTGGGAATAACAAATGTCCTAGAAGTGCAGGTAAAATTTGGTTTGAATTTTTCCTATTCTAATTACTTTTAAACGAAATGAAAAGAAAAAAAAGAATTACTTACGTAGGCAAGGGTCGCCATTTTCTATATCTATGCCCCAAGTTCCATTAATGCATTTATTCACTCCCTGCGGATTTAAAAATATTTTCGATAAATCACATTTTTATGAAAATAAATCCAATTTTTAATATACAAATGAAAAATAAAAGAAACAATAATTTGGAAATTTTTTTTTAATATTAAAATACACTTACAATAGCTGCATTTACATTTTCTGGTATTTTTTCATTACCATTATAATAAAAAAATTCATTGCATACTATTCTTGCATATAGTTCATTGCCATACTTATTGAATGTAACATATTCTTTTCCATAATAAAATGGAAGACACTCTAGTTCCTTTGTTAATTTACATATAGGTGGATCATTAAACCATTTTCCATATATTCTCATTGCCCAATTTTCGCCAATCAATGTGTAATTTGTGTTGCAAGAATATTTTAATAATGTACGTCCTGAATATGTTATTTCTTCAGTTTCACCTTTACAATTTTCAATATCAAAATAACGTAATGTAAAACTATCCATCTCAAGGTACTGAGCTTTAATCAATAAAGAGTCAGTTGCTGCAAAAATTTTAAACAATATTAACAACGTAATCGAAAAAGTAATAGGAAATTATTAAGTCTTTTTTTTGTACATATTTTTTCAATAGAAAAAATACTTACGAGTACATTCGGGATAATCTTCTGTTTTCCATATTCCCTTACTACATATTATTGTTGAATTTCCAGTAAGGAAATAATTTAAATCGCAGGTTAATGTCGCAATGTCACCTTCGTCATTTAGTTCAATTTGTCCATATTCAAAACTAATTTCTGGACATTTGAGATTTTCCGATAATTTACATTGAGGTGGTAGATTTGACCATTCTCCATCTATACATACTGCCCAATGTTTTCCTATCAATGTATAATTTTTATTGCAAATATATTGAATAAAAACTTGTCCATCGTTACCAATTTTTCTATCTACTGCCATTCCATTATCGATGTAGTAATATGTTTCGGATGATTTCAAACACGTATAAGCTGTGTAATTTTCATATTAAAATTATTTCTTGAAAATAGAATTAACGTTTATTAAAATATATACAGTATATATAAAAATCGTGAAATACTTACGAATACATATGGGTCGTTCACCACTCCATTTTCCATTAATGCAAGTTAGAGTAGAATCTCCTTGTAGTACATGAAAATCATTGCAAAGTACGAGCCCTTTGCTATAATTTTCCAGTGTAACAAATTGTGCATTTCTTATTTCTAGTGGCTCGCATTTTAATTCAGTTTCTGTAGAGGATTGTACATTTGGAATAAATAATGCGATGGAAATTGTAAGAATCAATTTATTACGATCAAAATCCATTTTTTGACTTTGTTTGTCAATTTTCTTACTGAACGTCTTGAAAAATAAATTCCAACTAAAATTGCACAGCTTTTTTTATGCGTTTACCTTATCTTCTTTCATATTTATGATTTTTAAGACATGATAGTATTAAAAAAAAAAAAAAATCCTTATAGTTGCAACATGATTGCAAAGTTTTTTTTTCTAAAGTCTTTAATCACAAATAGCTTTTTGTGTCATATATTTTTAACGATTTAAAAATTTTTCTATATTTTATTATAAATTTTTTCTTGCTCACGATTTTAAAAAGAAAAAATTATTTTTAAAAATTGTTATCAATATATTTTTATAAAATTTATGAATTTTCAACTTTGTGAAAGAACACGAAAAATGTTAAATGAGTGTGATGATGCTACTTCTCAACTAAAAGAAATACAATTCCGAGTACTCTTATATATGACTTGTTATTAATAGATTATAAAGTTTACTCAGTTTTATACTGGTTACAAAATTTAATATATTTATTCGTATTTCAATATTTATTTTACATGTGGTATATTTTTATCATTAATAATTTACGAACATTAATATCAGTTAAAAAATTATTCCATAGGTTCAACCGGGGTAAAATCCGAACACTTTTAGTAAGTTTCAACAATAACATAAGTTTTTCCTTTAAAAAAAAATACTTCCGGTATTCTGGTGCAAGAAGTTGTTACTTTACTTCCATAGAACAATTTTATAGGGTAGCAAAAATTTTTAATAAATTACAATCGCAGGAAACTTAGCGTTCGTATTTACCTCGATACTTTGCAACTTTCCTAAAATACCGGGGTAAATGCGAACGCCACTGTATTTCAGAAAAATCTTAGGGAAAATAAATTTAAAGTATTGCAATTGTTAAACTTATATAAAAACTCAAAAAAAAATACGATAATAAACCTATTATGTAATAATGCATCATATATAAATACAAAAATCAAACAGGTTAAAAATTAAAATGCATTACACAATTAAAACCTTCAATAACTTTATCAAATCATAACGGATTTTTGCAAAACTTGCTACAGAAAGTATTTTGGAGTGATTGAATGTAAATACAAAAATAAAAGTCAAATTTTTTAAATTCAAAATGGCGTACTTTCCTAAAACTTATTTTTAAAAATGATCAAATTTGCTAACCCTGAAACCCCCCGAGTAACAATTTTCGAGCGAATCCAATGAATTTTTTAATTCTCGTCTGCCATTTTGAATTTTAAAAAACTGACTTCAAATTGGTAATTAGCGACCCCAAAAACCGTAGAATACCAAATTTTATTAAGATCCTGAAAAACTTTTTTCAACAAACCATTTGGCAAAAAAATTGAAACACTCCTTCGAGAGAACAGAGATTAAGTTTCTGCTTATTAATTACTAACGAGGATACGTATAGAAAGAAAAACTTTTTTCTATGTACTTTTATAATGTTAAAATAATAGTGTAATCAAATAAAAACAATTTTGTGTGGCTTTGATGTAAAAAAAAATTATTAAAAATACCGTTCGGATTTACCCCAGTTTTCCAATTTTCTTGGGTAAATACGAACGGTCTGATATTATTAATAAAATTTTACAGAAGGCAAAAATCAAATATAGTTTCTGTTCTAGTATTCATATCAAACAATTATAAATAATAAAATAAATTTTTAGCTTCTTTTTCTTCAAATACGAGACAAAATACTGAAAGAGTGTCATCTTTGATTTTCAATCTTTTTTGCAATACTCGTTATCTTTGTTTATGCTGTTGCTAATTAACAAACGAAAAATGGGATAATACTTAGAATCTCTTGAAGAGGATCTGAGGTAAAACTTCTCATATCGAACTTATTTTTAAAAATTTTAATTTCGTGAATATTTAATTTCTATAAGTCAATTTCAAATGTTAATTTTCTTATCATGTTTTTCACAATCAAGTCTTATTCTAATATAGAACATTTCCCAACAATTATTGAATGTTATTTAAATTAAATTTTAAAAAAAGAAAAGATTATTAAAAATTATTAAAAGTAAAAAATATTGAAAGGTGAAATAAAAATGTGGTGTATGCTAATAATTTATTGATATACATATTATATTAGTACATTTATTATTCATATATGTATATTTTATTATTTACTTCCAAAAATATGTTAGAAGTTTATAAAGTATAGACTTTATATCGAAATGAATTTTTATATTTAGAAGAATTTTAATTTAACATGTGAAATGTAAACAAACATGAAATGTAAACAAACCATCCACATTTTTCGCACTTCTTATTTGCGTAGAAAATAAAAATTTGTCGTTTTCTTTATGAAAATGGTAAATTAATGTATTAAACTTGGTAACTATACTTTATTTGACTAATTATATGAAAAAATAAGTACAATTATAATGAAATGAAAAGTACACTGAATTAGCCATTTTTTCAAGTTTTCGAAAATACGTTGAGCACCTAGGTGGGAGAAAGAGTTGAGCCATTGGACGGTCACATCTTGGAAAGGATAAAATTCTGAAATTTTACCCCTTCTCTCACTTTCTTCCACCTTGGTCCTCAACGTCTGTGCCTCAGATATACTAGAACGCTTAAATTTTTTGTAACCTTGAAAAAATTGATATTTCAGTGTACTTTTCATTTCATTATAATTATACTTATTTGTTCACATAATTAGTTTAATAAAGTATAGTTACCTAGTCTAATATATAAATTTACCATTTTTACAAAGAAAACGATAAATTTTTACTTTTTATTCAAATGAGAACTGCGAAAAAATATAAGAAAATTTCTAATTCAGTGTACTTTTCATTTTATTATAATTATAATTTAATTATTAATTTATTTAATTTATTTCATTATAAAATTAAAAAATATTTTTCTAAAATATACAATTTCATAAGACAATACAGATTATTATTTAAAAAAATTTTTTTAATTAATTTAAAAAATGAAATTTAATCATCAAAAATTACCACAAAATTAAAATTTTTTTCAAAATTTTCTTTAAATTTTGCAAATAAACAATTTTAAAAATATATTTAAAGAATAAAATATAATTATAAAAAATTATTACAAAATTAAAAAATATTTTTTTTATATTTTAGAAATTAATTTCTTTTTAAACTAAGCTATGTTAAAAACTATGTTAAAAATTTAACATAGATGTTAAATTTTTTAAATGTTTTTTTGAAGATAATTAGAATGTTTGTTAAAAAAAACAGCATTATAAAATTTTATTTAAATAATTATTTTCAAATTTTAATTTCTTATACTTTTTATACAACTTAAAATCTTTTAATATTATTTAAACTATAATATTAAAATAAAAATCTACAACCCGAAAACAATAATTATATAAAAAGGTTGTTACTAAAAAAACATTTTTTCATTTCTTTATATTTGTCATGTTTTTTAATTCTAAAGTTAAAATTTGATTAATTGGACTCAAAAACATAGCTAAAAAAGGTTTAGTAAAATATAACAGAAATTAAATTTTAAGAATTTGATTTTTGGAATTTTTCTTCACAATTTTAAATCTATCAGTTATTTTCTTAATTTTAAGGTAAAAATGCGATTAATTAACCTCAAAAAACTTCCAAAAAAAGTCTAGTAAAAATAAGCGAAAAAATTTTAAAATTTCGATTTTTACAAAAAGTGCCATAACTTCCGTTCAAAATAATATTTTTTAATGGGGTATGGCTAAGATTTTAAGTTAGTCTAATATTTAAAAGACTGACAAGTTTCATTTAAATCGGTCAAGCCGTTTATGCGTGATTGGCGAACAAAATATTGTGCAGACAGACAGACAGAATTTTTTTTAATGCTATTTTTAGAATCCTTATGACTTGAAACGAAGAATTATACATGAATTTTTAAGTTCTAAGCAATGTAAAGACAAAAGTCTAATTTTATTAATATAAATATTTTGGATTAGTAAATTGTTAGTAATCCATACAATATTTCATATATAGGACTCGTTGGATGCGGAATTACAGTAGATGTCTTTTGATAAGTTCAGAAATACAGTAATTTTATTTGTTTCTAAAATATTTCATTTTTTCTTAACATTAATGAATTAAATAATATTTCAAAAACAGGAAAAACAACATTTAAATTTGTTTTTATTAATGTATTACACTGCGGCCGCCATGTTGGCACATTAAAATTATACACGTATCTTATAGATTTCAATATATGCCGATAGTTATGCTATCCATTACGATATGGTTTGTTAAGAGAATCAACAACAAACTTATCAAACAGATCTTTACAAACAGGTGGAAATTTTTTTTTAGAATTAACAATCAATTTTCCATCACTCGTAGAAGGTACCCAAATATTACGACGACAAATGAAATTTGAATCTCCTTCAAGCATATGTTTTGAAATGCAATATATTGTCATTGTCGTATCCCAGTCGTCATTCACTGTTATTGCATTATCCACATTTATTTGTACACAACCTGCGGATAAAAATAATAATTAATATATTAATAATTCATTTTATTCCCTTAAAAATTGTTATATTCGGGAGGGTTCCTTGGAGTCTGTTATTGTATTTTTGAAATTTAATTTTTGACAAATACTTACGTTCACAATTTTTGTAATTAACATCACCTGTCCAATTTCCATTAATGCATCGTCGCTCTCCCATCTATGGAAAATAATTTCATGCAACATTTTTATGAAAGGTGAATATACAAATCGTTAAAAAAAATTGTCTCCTATATCCAATAAATATTATGTTAATTTTTGAAATTTTTATTTATTTATACATTCAGAGAGTGATTTGTTTGAAACACTTTGATTATCATCTTTTGAAAACAAAATTATATACATATATATATATATTTTTTTTTTTTTACTTACAGATAAGTTTTCTCGGATTTCTGTCATTTCTATTGTTCTTAAAAAACTACTAGAATCATCGCAATTTATTCTAGCAATATTGCCAACTTCCAAAAATGTTACACTTGAACTTCCATATTTGAACGGTGGACATTTCAGTGTTTTTGTTAATTTACATTGAGGTGGTGTTTTCAACCATTTTCCATCATCACAAGTTACTGATTGTTCTCCGATCAGTGTATAATTTTTATTGCAATAATAATTTAAAGTAACCGTTTTCTTGTCAGGAAAAGTTTTCTCTACATATCCATTTGATAAATTATAAAACGTAGAATTTCTTAAGCAATTATGATCTGAAATTTTTTAATTTAAATGTAATTTCAAATAAACGAAAATAAAATTTAATATTTTTTCAGCTTTATCAAAATCGACGATGTAAATATTGTTGCGATTACATTTACGTATGCAATGATTTTGTTTTAATATTTTTTTAAGCATTCATTAAATATTAAATCATTAATTAACAAAAATAGAAGAAATACTTACGATAACAGTTGGTAATTGCATTTCTACTTTTAAATGGTACAAAACTATATGAAGGAAGCCATCTACCAGTAGATGGATTGCAGTTTAATATTTCATCTACAATAGGCTCGTAATTTGTATTACAATACAATTTCATTGACATGAACGATTTAGAAACTGAACCTCGTCCATTTTCAACTGTAGTATCACATTCCATAGCTGCAAAATAAATTTCATGAAATGTGGGAACAACAAATGTCCTGGAAATGCAGGTGAAGTTTGGTTTGAATTTTTCCTATTCTAATTACTTTTAAACGAAATGGAAAAAAAAAAATTACTTACGTAGGCAAGGGTCGCCATTTTCTATATCTATGCCCCAAGTTCCATTAATGCATTTATTCACTCCCTGCGGATTTAAAAATATTTTCGATAAATCACATTTTTATGAAAATAAATCCAATTTTTAATATACAAATAAAAAATAAAAGAAACAATAATTTGGAAATTTTTTTAAATATTAAAATACACTTACAATAGCTGGATTAAAATTTTCTGGTATTTTTTCATTATCAGTATAATAAGAAAATTCATTGCATACTATTATTGCATATAGTTCATTGCCATACTTATTGAATGTAACATATTCTTTTTCAAAATAAAATGGAGGACATTCTAGTTCCTTTGTTAATTTACATAGAGGTGGATCATTTAACCATTTTCCATTTATACACATTGACCAATTTTCGCCAATCAATGTGTAATTTATGTTGCAATAATTTCTATAAAATGTAAGTCCTGAATATGGTTGATCTTCAATAAAAGCTCCACCATTTTCAATATGAAAATAACGTTCTGCAATACTATTACACTCAATGTAATAAGTTAGAAACAATGAAAGTTCATTTGCTGCAAAAATTTTAAACAATATGAACAACGTAATCGAAAAAGTAAAAGGAAATTATTAATTCTCTTTTTTGTAGATATTTTTTCAATAGAAAAAATACTTGCCAGTACATTTGGGATGATGTTTTGTTTTCCATATTCCATTTCTACATATTATTGTTGAATTTCCAGTAAGGATATAATTTAAATCGCAGGTTAATGTCCCAATATTACCTTCGTCATTTAGTTCAATTTGTCCATGTTCAAAAATATATTTTGGACATTTGAGATTTTCCGATAATTTACATTGAGGTGGTAGATTTGACCATTCTCCATCTATACATACTGCCCAATTTTTTCCTATCAATGTATAATTTTTATTGCATTTATATTCAACAAAAACTTGTCCATCGTTACCAATTATTCTATCTTCTGTCATTCCATTATCGATGTAATAATACGTTTCGGATGTTTGCAAACACGTATAAGCTGTGTAATTTTCATATTAAAATTATTTCTTGATAATAGAATTAACGTTTATTAAAATATATACAGTATATATAAAAATCGTGAAATACTTACGAATACATATGGGTCGTTCACCACTCCATTTTCCATTAATGCAAGTTAGAGTAGAATCTCCTTGTAGTACATGAAAATCATTGCAAAGTACGAGCCCTTTGTTATAATTTTCCAGTGTAACAAATTGTGCATTTCTTATTTCCAGTGGCTCGCATTTTAATTCAGTTTCTGTAGAGGATTGTACATTTGGAATAAATAATGCGATGAAAATTGTAAGAATCAATTTATTACGATCAAAATCCATTTTTTGACTTTGTTTGTCAATTTTCTTACTGAACGTCTTGAAAAATAAATTCCAACTAAAATTGCACAGCTTTTTTTATGCGTTTACCTTATCTTCTTTCATGTTTATGATTTTTAAGACATGATAGTATTAAAAAAAAAAAAAAATTCCTTATAGTTTCAACATGATTGCAAAGTTTTATTTTTCTAAAGTCTCTAATCACAAATAGCTTTTTGTGTCATATATTTTTAACGATTTTAAAATTTTTCCATATTTTATTATAAATTTTTTCTTGCTCACGATTTTAAAAAGAAAAAATTTCTTTTTAAAAATTATTATCAATATAATATTTTTATAAAATTTATGAATTTAAATAAATTAATTTTTCAATAGTTTATTAATTGTCAAGTTTGTACCATTTATTTTTTAAATAGTAAGGATGGTAATTTTGTTTTTGAATTTTAATATTGTTGTTAAGATGGTAATTGTGTTTCTCCTATTAAGAATTTTATTAACCTAATCATATTTGATAAGGTAGAATTTAAATGAATCACTCTCACGTTAGTCTCTCTAAAACGACTAATATTCTTTTTATTAATCTCAACATACTTTCTTTATAGGTATATATATTTTCTTTAACATCTCCAAATTTAAAGCATCGACTTATACCCTGACTCGGAGTGATCGATATCATCATCTTAATAATAATTATTAAATTATTTTTATTATTTCTAATTAAAATTGCAGGGTAAAAAGCAATTTTTAAGAAAAGTAGAAAATTTTAAAATCGTAAAAAGATTATTGAAACAATTTTTCAAACATATGAAAAAAAAAAAATTCCTCAGTAATGATACAACTATCATGAGTTTTATTTTTTTATTTCATTATTTTACAATGAGCGATATGTATACATAGTAAAAATATTAAAAAGTATTAAAAAGTAATGTTAAAAAAAATTTTCACTCATTTTCTCTGTTATAAAATTTAAGTATAGTTGAATTTTAAATATTTAAAAAATAGTTAAGATGGTAAATAGGTATCTCCTATTACGTATTTCATTAACCTAATCATATCTGATAAGGTAGAAATTTAATTGACTAACAGTCAAATTTTTATGTACGAAACTCGTACAAATATTTTTTGTACATGGTTTCTTAAAAAAGTGGGTCGTTTCTCACTGCTGGGGTATGATCCCAGAACCTTCTTATTGCCGGTAAGATACTCTACCAATTGTGTGCATGGATCATACCCCAGCAGTGAGAAACGACCCACTTTTTACGATTTTAAAATTTTCTACTTTTCTTAAAAATTGCTTTTTACTTTGCAATTTTAATTAGAAATAATAAAAATAATTTAATAATTATTATTATTAAGATGATGATATCGATCACTCCGAGTAAGGTTATAAGTCGATGCTTTAAATTTGGAGATGTTAAGGAAAATATATATATATATATATACCTATAAAGAAAGTATGTTGAGGTTAATAAAAAAAATATTAGTCGTTTTATATACAAGGGCTTACAAAAAAAAAAGAAATGAGCTCTGTCGTACCAAGGTTAACTTATTTAAGAAAATTAGATACATTTTTTTTTATTTAAAAATAACTGATTATTACCACACACTTTATTCAACCTCAATAAATCATATTGCATTTTAAGATAATCGTCATAACTTTCGTTTTTTATAGTTTTTTACATTTTCAGTTGATCGACATATAAAGCTGATTTTACAATGCTCAAAATTTTTATAATTGAAATAATTAATTATTAATTTATTTGCAATTTAATTAATTAATTATATTTTAAATTGTAGATATATATACATATCAGCAATGCAATTTCATTATTTACGCTCATATCCTTGAACTGGACAAATTGTCAATTCCATTATCTGTAACAAATAAGTTAATATTAATTAAAAATAATTGTTAACAATTTTTATTAAAAATTTATTTTAAATAATTTAATTTTAATAATTTTTATAAATTTAACAATATTTTAAATATTATCTACCTGAACATGAAGTGGAGTAGATAAAGCATACATAACACCATCAGAAATGTCTTCTGCATCAACGTAAGGAATTTTTTTCAACAAATCATCAGGTGTAATTTTTTACATTAAAATTTCCAAAAAAAAAATTCTTTACCATCAGTCGATAAGGTAAATTTCTATGTCGGTAATTTTTATATTATCATTTTCCAAAAAATGTCTTTACCATCAGTCGGTAAGGTAGATTTCTATATTGGTAATTTTTATAATATCATTTTCCAAAAAAATGTCTTTACCATCAGTCGGTAAGGTAGATTTCTATGTCCGTAATTTTTATATTACTATTTTCCAAAAAAAAAATTCTTTACCATCAGTCGATAAGGTAAATTTCTATGTCGGTAATTTTTATATTATCAATTTCCAAAAAATGTCTTTACCATCAGTCGGTAAGGTAGATTTCTATATTGGTAATTTTTATAATATCATTTTCCAAAAAAATGTCTTTACCATCAGTCGGTAAGGTAGATTTCTATATCGATAATTTTTATATTAGTATTTTACAAAAAAACAATTGTTTGCTAACAGTCGGTAAGGTAGATTTCTATGTCGGTAATTTTTATATTATCATTTTCCAAAAAATGGCTTTACCATCAGTCGATAAGGTAGATTTCTATGTCCGTAATTTTTATATTATCATTTTCCAAAAATGTCTTTACCATCAGTCGGTAAGGTATATTTTTGTGTCGGTAATTTTTATATTAGCATTTTCCAAAAAAAATTCTTTATTAACGGTCGGTAAGGTAGATTTCTATGTCGATAATTTTTATATTAGCATTTTCCAAAAAAAAAATGTTTTTATCATCAGTCGGTAAGGTAGAATTCTATATCGGTAATTTTTATATTATCATGTTCCAAAAAAGTTAATACAACGTTTTTTTTTTTGACTAATTTTGTCAACCTTCTCAGGTACTGAAGGAAAATAAAACTTAGATTTTTAATTTATTTTAATAAATTTAATGAGTCCATTAATATTCACTATATAATAATTTGATAAAATTAGAGAAATTTCATGCTTTTATCGTCTTCTACGCTAGAGCGCTCAGCGCCATCTACAACTTTTTAGACGGACGATACACGCAAAAATTCAAAATAGTATTAAAATTATAAGACATTGAAAAAAAATAATTTTATAACAAATAGAAAATTTTTCATTTACGAACACAACCTGGAACTGGGGTAATTGTCATTTCTTTTATCTGAAAAAAAATATAATTTATAAATAAATAAAAATAAATAAATAAATTTATAAAACATAATTAATTTTATATATTTTTTTTTTTTATTCTTCTTTTGTAATTAAAATTTTTTAATATTATTTTACCTGTACGTGAGCAGGAGTTGATAAAGCATAAATAATTCCATCAGAAATGTCTTCTGCATCGACATAAGGAATTTTTTTTAACAATTCATCAGTTGGCATTTCAGTTTTTACTAGTCCCGGAAAAATTGTCTTAAGAAAAAATAATAAATATAATTTAATTATAAATTTTAATAAATTAATACCTACTAATTTCATAAAATCATAAACTTACAGTAATTTTTATATTACTTTTCACGTGTTGCAATTCCAATTCAATAACATCGCTCATGGCCTTCAGAGCAAATTTACTTGGACTATATATATTAAATGTTGAATTGTTCAAAAATGGAACTCTTTGTCCTGCAATACTAAAAATTATAAATTATTATTATATTTTTATTATTATTATTATTATTATTATTATTATCATTATTATTATTATTATCATTATTATTATTTTCTATCATTATTTTTGAATACAAACAATTTAGTTTTAAATTAATAATAATTAATTTATAATACTAAAAATTAATAACAATGATAATAGTTAATTATTAATTGTGATAATAATTATTAATTATTAATTATTAATTTTTAATGAATTGAAATTAGTTCTAAAATTTAAAAAATAAAATAATTTATTAGGATAAAAAAAAATGAATTACCTATTTATATTAATAATGTGGCCGGAAACTTTATTTGCCCTCATTATTCTTACAGCCTCCCTGGTACAAATTGTTGGGGCAATTAAATTTACATCCACTATATTTTTTAAATCCGCTGTTGAGCTATCTGTGTGAAATTAAAAAAAATAATCAAATTATCATTCTTTTTTTCTCCACTTTTCAAATAAATAGAAATAATATTATTTCTTTGGTACAAAAAAAAAATAAAATAAAATAAATATTTTTCAAAATTTTAAGAAAATTTAATTCAATTTTTTTTTAATTTACGAAATAGGAAATTCTTTTTTTTAAAAAAACTAATTTTTGAAAAATAGTAAAAAAAAAATTTTTTAAACTAAAAAATATTGTATAAATATAAAAAAAAAATTGGTATTATTACAATATTTTATCATTAAAATATTATATTAAAATATTGTATTATATAAAACAAAAAAAAATTGTAAGTACCAATGAGAAGATCATTTGTAACAACACCAGCATTATTAACAAGAATATCGATAGATTTAAAATTTTTCTCAATCCATTGAAATGCATTAATAATATCGTTCTCCTTATTGAGATCACATTTTATTGGATAAAAAGCACCTTTCTCATTTTTTAATTGATTCTTAATTTTTTCCATATTTTCCACTCTTCTCGCTAAACCCACAACATTAATATTTTTTTTCACCAACGCCTTTACTAAAGCAACACCAATTCCTGAACTTGCTCCAGTGACCACAGCAATTTTATTCATCCAACGATCCATTTTGTTTGAGAGTTAAGTGACTACTGGAAAAATTATTATTCTCATTATATGGTGCGATATCAGTCTTTATCGTTGCAAATGTATGCCACACTATATACATTTATATTGTTCAAAAAAAAAAAAATGCATCTATTTTTAGTCTATGAACTAAAATGATTTTTAAAGAAATAATTTTTCTCACAATATAAAAGTTGTAAAATTTTTAGAAAATCAATTTTGTCCCAAATTAATTTTTTTTAGGAAATAAAAATAAATTTATATATAGAGAATGATTTTTATATTTCGGAACTCAATAAAAAAAATTTTTTTTTTTAAATTTTACTTTTTGTTAAAAATTAGATTACCAAAAAAATTTTTTACGGTATCCAGGGAACATAAAAATCATTCCCTATGTAAAAATATTAATGATTGCAATTTAGACAATTTCGTAACTATTTTTAGAGAACGTAAAACAAAGTTGTATTTGAAAATTTTAATATTTTAAAGAGTTTAAGAATTTTTGTAATTAGGTCGTTGGTATATAAATATACAACAAGGGTGTATATAAAGGACTTAAAAATGAATAATTAGTCTCGTCATTGTAACAGTTTCTCATATATATATGCCCTTAATTATATAATTTTAACTTTCTACTAGAAAATTTTATAATATATTTTTGCATTATAACTTGAGAAAACAACATTTATTTATATAAATTTTATTTATTAAAAAAAATAGTAATTTTACATTTTATACTGTAAAATGAAATAAAAAAATTACCCAAGTACCCAACCCATGTGTTTGACAAGGTTAGGTTACATTAGGTTAGGTTAGGTTAGGTTAGGTTAGGTTAGGTTAGGTTAGGTTAGGTTAGGTTAGGTTAGGTTAGGTTAGGTTAGGTTAGGTTAGGTTAGGTTAGGATTCAAGGCCAGAGATCAAACATAACCTCATAATTCTAGGGCACACATTTTTAGGCTTCAAGGCCTTAGTTCAAACATAACCTCAAAATTCAAGGACATATGTCAAGGGACCGTTGGGTATGTGGTTATGTCCGACAAACATAACTTTAAATTCCCCTAACCAAGAAACGAATATAACCTCAAAATTTAGATAAAAATTTTAATAATTTTAAGCCTTTAAAAAATTAATTATTAAAGTTAAAAATAATGAGGGTTGGCCCTAGTAATTATACATAAAATAATAATTAATAATACTACCAAATGTATAATAAATTATTATATTTCAACATTATCTTTCAATCGTCACTTTTATGGAGAAAAAAAAAACTTTATTCAAAAATTTTTATTCATTACAGTTAAAGCAAACTTCCTGAAACAATAAAGATTGTGAAATAATACGACTCGTTTTTTTTTATCCGTATGGAGAAAGAATTTTTCAACAATTTATATTAAATTTTAATAAAAACTAGTAATTGTCGTTTATAATTAATTATTGTTTAAAATTATTAATATAAATAAAATTAATAATAAAAATTTTTAAAAATATAAAATGAATAAATAAACAATTAAAATTTAATACAATTTAACAATAATTAAATTCTATTGATATTTAACAATAAATAATTATAAATAATTAAAATTTTAAATAATTACAACTATAATTTGAATGTTAGTTTAGATTATTATACAAATTTGTTAAAATTAACAATAATTATAGAAAATTATAAATAAATTAAATCTAAGAAATGAATTATTCTTAAAAATCGTCGTAGAACCAAAATTCAAAAAGATTATGTAAATTAAGTCAAATAATAATTGTTAATAACAAATTATAATAAAAATTATTATTGTTTATAACAAAAAATTAATCTAATTGTAAAATGATGCAAAATATAAAAGATCTCCCCTTCTTTGAGATTTTATCCCTACTTTTTGGAAATCTGTTTCTTTAAGGGACAACCGACAAAAAGTCTAAATTTTGATTGGGGATAGACCCTTAAAAACGCATGTTTGCGTAAGTCAGCATCTCATTCAAAAAGTTATTTCAACATTTAAAATTTCTACATTCAAACTCATAAAGAGTCATTCAAAAGTTATTTTCAACATTCAAATTCGTATACACCAACTCAAATCAAAATTCTAAAAGTTATTCATTTATTCTAAATTCTAAATCTATTCAAATTTTATAATTTCAAGTTTCAAAAGTTTAGTGATTTTTCTACAATTATTACCAAATCAGAAATTATCAAGGAAGGACGATTAATCTAATATATTTTGCATCTTCAGGAAAAATTATCTTTGATAAATAAAAAGTAAGTTTTTAAATTATATTTACTATCTTTACTTTATTTCTTTTTGAAAACTTCTTTCACTTTCTAAAAATCTTTCACAATTTCCCAATTCCAAAGAATACGGCCGTATTAAAGCTGGCTGTTATTCTTTAAAATTGTATTATTTTTACCTATGTGATTCCAAATTATTTCAACTTTTGATTCAAAAATTTGTTAATGTCACTTTATATAGTTGTGACTAACAAATTTTACTCCTTATTTTATGTATTTCCTTAATTTTTCAATTATCTATAAAAAAAAATTCAATAGAAATAAAATAATCATAATCAATTCCCAAGCTATTGGATGAGAATCCAGGCTTAAAATTGTAATAAAATTTTTATAACTATAATTTTAATTTAAAATATAAAAATTAAATTATTATTATTTGTTATAGAAATTTATAAAATATTATTTATGTTACATTACGTAACAAATACAAAAGTCATAGTACAAAAATTTTTTAAATTTTACCTTACTAAAGTGAAATATCGATTTGTCAGTGTTTCAAGTCAATAGGGTATTGGCTAGATCAATAGAATCAACACAAAAGCCTATATTTTTGAAAAGGTCAACCACTAATTCTTTTATTGCAAATATAAATAAACTGAAAAAAATATATAATCATGTTGAACAGTTCTTCAGTCATCAATATCGGTTAGTGATGAAAACAAATGAAAATTACTACTACAAAAAAGAGCAGCTAGCAGTACATCTCCGATTCTTAAAATCGGATTTAAAGATTTATGTATTTATGTAAATTCTTTTCTAAAAAATCGAAAACATCTTAAAAAGTTCTATAGCTAACAAAAGTTTCCTTTTTTGGATTTGTCACTATGATTATCAAATTGCAAATTGTCTTCATCTCAGTAGCAGCTTTTGTTATTGGGGATATACCATCACAATGTGTTGATAAATTAAATTGGTTAGAGAATATTCTAGAATTCGTTACAAATGATTCGAAAATTTATCAAATGGTATTGATGACAGAAAACAAAATTGAAACACTTGATCAAGTACTAAAGGAATTTCAAACAAAACTACCGATTTTGTATCTAAATTCTTCTTTTATAACGCAAAAAACTCAAAATCAATTCCAAAAAATGAGAATTATGCAAACTCCCAGAGTTACACTCTTTTCAATATTAACATCATTGAAAGATACGGAAAATTTCTCCAAAATTGAAAATCTAATGGAATTTATTGGAAACATATCCAAAGTCACTATTCGTCCAAAATGTCTAATTATCTGTTTCTCAAATTCTAACAGCAGAAATTATAAAATATTTCTTAAAAAGATGTGGAAAAATTTATTTCTTGATCTTACTATTCTCGATGTTTACAAAAATGAATCCGTAATTCATCAACTGAATCCATTCATCAATACTTACAGCATGAAACCATTTTCTCTGAATACAAAATTATTTCCCGACAAGTTGAAAAATTTATACAAATATCCGCTAAAAGTGGGCGTTTTTGATCTACCACCTTTTTTCGAATTAAAACAAAATTCAACAAATCATTTAACTGACATCACTGGATTAGATGCATTGGTTATTAAAGCTATTTCAAAAAAAATGAATTTTCAAATTCTGCCAATTCAATCAAACATTAAAGGCTTTGGTAAGTCAAATTGTGCAAAATCAAAAACAACTGGACAATTGTATGCATTGTTCCACAATAAAATTCAATTAATTGGCGGCAGATCAATGACATTAAGAGCCGATTGTCCCGAGGATGAAAATGAAAATATGGAATTTGAAGTCGAATATTTTGTACTAGTAGTTCCACTTATTACAGAAACATCATATTCCCTTACAATTGGAAATTCTTTTTACTATTCAATTATATTAATCGCTTTAAATCTGACAACATGTTGGATCATTGAATATTTTGGTAATTTTGACAAAACTATTTGGGACAAAACAGTAATTATACGAATATTATTGGGAATATCCATCGAAAGAGAACCTGAGAAATTAAAGGAAAAATATTGTTTCATGTTCTTTACGCTTGTTGCATTTTTATGGTCATCAGATATTATGGCATCATTAATGGATATGCAATTTCATTTGGCTAAAAATGTAAAAATAAATAATTTAATTGATTTACTAAAAAGTGATCTACCAATAAGTAGTGAGCAAAATCTTGTTTGGGGTTTTAAGAATCTTGTTGTTAAACCTGAGAATTTAACAATTTTCTTGAAAAATGATGACAAACAATTTGTTTATTATAAAAATTGTATTGATGTTTTATTGAAAAAAAAGAATGTTGCTTGTCTTTTAAAGAAATCTATTGCCGATATACAAACACACATTGTTAATAGAGAAAAACGATTAAAATATCTTGATGATAATGTTTATGCTACGGCAAATGCATTTTTAATGGAACCTTGTTCACCATATGTGGAAAAATTTCGTGAAATATATTTAAAATTGACAAAAAGTGGACTTGTTGAAAAATGGAAATTTCATGACAAGAAAATAGAAAAAAGCGAATTTAATTTACAAGAAGATGTAAAAATTACATCGTTACTCATTGGAATAATGATTTTGGAATGTATGGCATCAGTTTTAGCATTTTTTGGAGAGATGCTAATCAATAGATTCTGGTAAATTTATTCATTTTGTTATATAAATTTTACCAATATCCTATTTATTAATTCGAAACTCCTGTATTCTTATATTTTTTTTATTTCCATTATTTCTCGGTGAAATATCGATTTGTCAGTATAAAAAATTTATTTTGAAAGCTATTGATTTTTAGAAACATA